CCGCGCCCGGCCAGGCCCGCGCCTCCGGCCCGCCCCACCGAGCGGGGCGGCGCGGGGGGGGCTGTGTGCGTGCGTGTGTGTGTGTGTGTTTGTAGTTAGTGCGCATAGTGTGCATGTAGTTAGTGTGTGTAGTTAGTGCACATAGTGTGTGTACTTAGTGTGCGTAGAGTGTGTGTGTAGTGTGCATAGAGCGTAGAGCTTGTGTATAGTGTGTGTGTAGTTAGTGCACATAGTGTGCATGTAGTTAGTGTGTGTAGAGTGTGTAGAGCGTGTACAGTGTGTGTGCTTAGTGTGCGTAGAGTGTGTGTGCAGTTAGTGTGCATGTAGTTTGTGTAGAGTATCTGTGTAGTGTGCGTAGAGCGTGTGTATAGAGCGTAGAGCTTGTGTATAGTGTGTGTAGTTAGTGTGCGTAGAGTGTGTGTAAGTGCACATAGTGTGCGTGTAGTTAGTGTGCGTAGAGTGTGTATAGTGTGCGTAGTTAGTGTGCGTAGAGTGTGCGTGTAGTTAGTGCACATAGTGTGCGTGTAGTTAGTGTGTGTAGAGTATGTGTGTAGTGTGCATAGAACGTGTGTGCATGCAGTGTGTGTCGTTAGTGTGTGTTGATTGTGCACATGCAGTGTGCATAGAACGTGTGTGCATGCAGTGTGTGTCGTTAGTGTGTGTTGATTGTGCACATGCAGTGTGCATAGAGTGTGTGTGTGTGTAGGTAGTGTTCATGGAGCATGTGTGTGCGTGCAGTATGTAGTTGTGCATAGAGTGTGTGTAGTGTGTGTGTACTGCATGTAATGCATGTGGAATGCGTGTAGTGTGTGCGCCCAGAATGCATTGCATGTGTGTGGAGGGTGTGCGTGCATGTGTAATGTGCCCTCTGCGTCTGCAAGGGGAGAAGGAAACTAGCCTGCTCCTCCTTTCTTCCTTGTTTTCCCGAGCGTCAAAGGAAAACGAGGAAACCTTTCTCTGGGAGACGGTTTCCTGCCGTGGCGCCTGTCGCCGCGCTCCTTCCTGCCTGCGATAGCAGGGCTGTGTGGGAAAGAGGTGGCACGTGTGCGTTGTGTGGTGTGCTCCCGTGGCGGGGCAGCACGGCGCGGGGCTCTGAAGGGGCAAGGTGCTCTCTTCTGGCACGCAGCACCATCTGACTTTGCGTGTCGCGACGTTTGTCAGCCCTGGTGTTTTGAGAGAGGTGCTGGGATGCAGCAGCATCTCCACTGGCCCGCAGTACAGAGCAGCCTGAAAAGTTTCTGTGTCCAGATTAAAATGCCCCTGCTATTGATCTTGCTTGTACCAGGTTCAGGCTGTGCGCGCTCGCTCCGGTTACACTCGATCCTCACCTGCGTGAGGTCTTGGGCATGGCCGGTTAGAAACGTAGCTGTGTTTTCACCTCGTGCAGTTAAACCCTCGGGGCCCTATCTGTCCCCTGTGAGGGTAGTGTGGGGGAGCTCCCACAACTCCCCACCGTATGCAGATACGACACGGGTGCAGGAGGTGTGCACCAGAGAGCTGTAAAAGCAACCAAGCCTTTGGTTAGAAGCTGCAGAGTTGAACCAAGACCCGCAGATCTCTCAGCCTCCCTGTCGATCCATAGGAGCTTTCACTTCGGTTTGCGGTTTCTCAGCGTACGTCGTTTAATCAGGTGGATTTTTGTCTTCTAGGAACTGGGCTGAAGCCACCAGCTAATTTCACGGGGGCTCACAAAACAGGCAGCCATTCTTAAGCCGGCTGGATTTGCAGTGGTGCTATTTGGGTGAAGGGCTCTGTTCCTCCACCAGCCCCTGCCTGATCCAGCGCCATCATGTCTGCTACCTCTTTGTTAACAAATTTTAGGTCTAAAAGCCTTTGGTTGCTCATACCAAATAGAATAAATAAGAGCTGTTATCCTATTTTTAAAGCAGCAGTTGAGGGCGGCCGTTGGTTGGCATTTATAGGAATAGAAAGAATGACACTTTTTTGCCTTCCTCTTACAATGTGGATCAAGTACAGACAATACGTTAGAAGCCAAATCCTGGCCCTGCACTGCACGGGCACACCGGCCCCCTCCGCTCACATTTGTTAACGTGGTTACGGTTTGCAGGATCGGTGTCGGATTCGCTCATGGGTTGGAGGTCCCCGCGACACGGTTCAGACTTGCTCTGTGTGTGTGCATACGTACATGTGGACACCAGGAGTCCGAGGAGAGGGCTGGTGGAAAAACCGAGGTTTAGGGAAACAAGCAAAAAATAATCTTACAGCTGTGCGGCTGTGTTGCGTTCTCCATTGCGAGCTGTGCTGGGGTAATGGCGTTTAGAAATGTGAACCCATTATGCTTCCAGATGGCACCAGACATCAGTCTGGAGTTACTTGCCCTGCCATTTTTCTGATTATGCTGTGGAGAGGCTCTTGTTCATTTATCTTCATGCGTAGTCCTCTCTTGAACGTAGGGGTGACCCACGCTTGAGATCTGCTGGCAGAAAAACCACCTACGTTTTGATGCCTGTGTACACCAGCTTGAGTTAAATAACTGCAACCGCTTTAATTCACACTTGTTAATTTTGGATGAGAACTTTGACCTCTCACTGTGTTTTTGCTTTGATTCATTATGTAACACTCCCTTCCTCTTTAGGTGAAAATCACACTCATCCAGTCACTTGATCTCATCTCTGCGGTAATTGCTTTATTGCGCTGTTTGGATGGAAGAAAAGGGGAGGGGGGAACCTATTGGGTATGCTTAATAACTTCTTGGTCAAACAGCAGAACTGCTGAGTCTGCTCGCTGCGTTCTCTCCCTGTAAAACTGCCTTCATTTGAACTCTGAAGTCTGTCTTGATGTGATTTGACATTGCTGAGCTGCTGTAGTAAATCATGAACAGAACAGAATGGGCTTGGAGGGAGGTGGTGACCAGATCCAGACTGTAATGGTGCGGTGCATAATCCTAATTTTTAATTGGCTGAAAAAGTGTAGTTATTTGCAAGGCTACGCTGTATTCAGCTTTCTCAGCAAAAATGGTTGAAGAGTGCTGTCACTGTTAGCTCAAAACATACCCCAGCTTAAATCATATGTCACTGATGCACCTTTTACTACTTTTGCTGCTCACTGCTGCTGGGCTGGGGGGAGCATTGTTCTCTTGCACCCGTCACCAGTCATCACTCCAGAGAACTGGACTTTTCTGTGGTTTTGTGCCTGCAGCTGAGCCCATAACAATTGTCCACGCCCCCCAGAAGCCAACATCATGTTGCAGCGTACAAGAATCCGAGGCCCTGAGCAGCTCCGATTCTTCTGTTTTAAATCCCCTTCTGCTCCCGGGAACAGAGCAGACGTGCACCATGGAAGGATGCTGAGAGGTATGCGCGTTCTCCGGAGCACAGCTGGTGGGTCTAATTTTAGGCTTCCCGGCCGTGACATCAAACCTTTTAGTAGATCTTAGTCCAAATAAAATCCCTGCAGCTAGGTGTCTCTCCCCCCTCCCCCATCCTCTTTCTTCTTTAAAGATATATTTAACTCAATTTAGCTTATTCAACAATCGGAGCTTTACATGGTAGCATTCTAATTTTAATTTTAGAACGTCTTGTTTAATGCTTCTTCTGTGTAAATGGAGATCGTGACCAAATGCCGCTCTTGCGCACAAACGGGTACCCCAAATCACTGACATTTTGCAGGGGTTAGACTTTAGGCAGACGTTGTTTTTTGTTCTTTAGTTTCTTGCAAATTTCTCCAGGCTGCTTATGACATAACTTGGTGAGGTACTAAGTGCTGCCTCTGTCCATAAAAGTCCATTTAGAGACTAGTGCGCATCTCAGGAACTGCAGTTTTTTGAAGTCTGGTTCCTAGTGCTTAATCTGGCTTCACTAGGAATCCTACTGTTGTCTTCAACTGGGAACAAAGTTAGACCGGCACTGCAGGTTTTGAAGATAATCCAGCTTTTACCCTGGTTCTGTAGCTGCTTGCAAACTTTCTTATTTATGGGCTTGTCTAAATGTGGAAACTGCCAGTTTAACCATTAGATTTTCTACCTGTTCACTTGAACCAGGGCAGCTTGTGTTTGTGTGTGCGCGCCCTTCTTGTTGGTTTAAAATCAGTCAGGTTAGTCCAACTTATTGTAAGTTGAGTGGTGCAGGGGAAACTGAGAAGCAGGGATCCTGGTTTTCTCTGATTTTAAAAAAATCCCCAATTTTCAGTTTAAAAAAACTAACCCCAAATCCACATTTTTCCATGATTAAAATTAAACACCACTAATATATAGATATATGGTGGTGTTTCATTTAAATCACGGAGAAATGTGGCTTTGGGGTTAAACTGAAACTCCAGTAATATATAGATATCTATATATTAGTATATATTAGTGGTATTTCATTTAAATCACGGAAAAATGTGGCTTTGGGGTTAAAATGAAACACCCCTAATATCTAGATAGATAGATATATGTATCTATCTATCTATCTATCTAGATATTAGTGTATATTAGTAGTGTTTCATTTAAATCACGGAAGATGTGAATTTGGGGTTGCTTTTTTTTAATCGAAAATTGGAAATTATTTTAAATTGGAGAAAACCAGGATCCCTTCTGATAAGACAGCTTGAAAATCACACCAAAACATTGCACTGATTTAAATAAACAGGTATAAAATTGCACCATTTGCCACAATGCTACAGTTCTTTGCATAGACTGAGAC